ACACACACACATACACACATTGGTTGTTTTAGATTAAATTATTTTAATTAGAGATCGTCTGATCAAAGAATAGGTAACTAATCGTTTGACACCAATTTAGCTTGGACAATAATGTATCATCCACATTCCTACCAATAAAGCTTATTTAAAACCACAAACTGGCAGCCTAACCTCTTTGTAGTTTTAACTGTTATTTAGATGGTCACATTAAGATCAGAAAGCTCTTGCTGCAAAGACACACATCTGGTTTCAGAATCAGCGGATTTCAACCCTCAACTACCTTGGGGTACAGATTGCCATTTTTTTTCCTATAACTACAATTCCATGTTTTAAAACACTGAGGAAATAAACTCGCCCGAGTTCGAGCGAACCACGCAGACTGTGACAGCTTGAGGACGACAGAGAGGGAAATCCTCTTCCCTGAAGTTCACCAAAAGCCAGCTGGTCCGGCAGTGGCATGCGACAGCTTCAACGCCAACACATACGGTCACTATGGTCAAACACCTGCAAAACAACACCTTACCAACACACAAGCAAACTATATGTACAGTGAGCATGCTCAAACCACCCCTCTTCTACCGCAACACATCAAAAACATACTAACAAGCCAGATAACTACATGCTAATTTGTTTGTTTGTAACAAAGGACACATTTATTTACTGTGTTGCACATAAATTGGCTAGACTGGATCGTTATAAGCAGCTACATGCTAATGTTAAGATCCAACTGGTCTCGGGTTATAGATGTTAACAGGCATGTTGACAGACCTGTTGTGGAGCTGCAGGGCACACACACACACACACACGCAGATGTAAATGTACAAGCACACGCACAAAAATGTACTCTGTTACAGGAAAAGAAAAAAGGAAGAGCAGCAAAGATAAATGTTGGAGTTGAATGTTGGATTGGCTATCATACACACAGTGATGAAAGCCAGTTGCACCTGGCTGGTTATTTTGCTGGAGAAATCCTCGCAGACGCTCGAGCCAAAAACACTGCGTGATTGATGAATAAAGTCAAACCAGCTCAACAAAAAGTAACAAATTGTCAGAGATGAACTTCTTCCCTGTCGGATGCTGATATTGTTAGAGGGAAATCTAAGTGTTGAGACATGTACTGTAGCACCGATAAAGGTTGAAAGTGACAATGCTTGTACACATTTGGGGAAAGATAGAATTGAAAAAAAATGTGATGAAAATGACAACATAGACAGATACTCACACAAAAAAGAAAGACTGATTTTAATAGCAAGCTAAGGAAGAGCGTGTGTGAGTGTGTAAGCGTGCGCGGCGCGCGCATGTGCACGTGCCTGTCGGAGCTGGCTGGGTCACCCCACCCTGTTTAATGTCACTCTGACGTCAAAGCCATGTGTTCGGGCCCTTAATGCAGACAGGATGGAGCAAGTATTTATTTAACTTTGGTTCTCCCCTCCGAGAGAACGGGGCCCTCCATAAACACCGACTTCAGAGCAGTTTCGCTCATTCATAGCCAAGCTGCAGCCACCGCTGAGATCATCGCACAGGATCTCAGGACAGGCCTGCGCATGTGCGGCAGTGACAAGACTTCAAAAAGCTGGAACGCGTTGAGAGAGGCCGATGTCAAATCGTGAGACGTGCCACTCAGCTACCAGGACGCGGATTCCTTTGCCTGAAAGATTTATAGACAGCGGGGTCAGCCTGGTTGCACGGCAGTCTAACGACATGTAACATCTTACCAACGGCTGGCCAACTTTACCTCACACCATCCTCCTCTCTCCATTTCCCCATGTGTCCTGTTACTATCTGCTGCCAACTATAACAACAGCAAACTACGACAAACGTGACATAAAAACACGTGACGAACGGAAGACCCAACATCACACATGGCTCCACTGAAACCAAGGTAACCAAAGTCCTCTCCCTCCTTGTTGAAAAAGCCAGCAGTTATTTCTTAAAGGAGACACTAAATGGCAAGTGGCAAAGTATTTATGTCTTATAACTATGCAACAACATTCCTGAAGGTTACTGGGCCATCTCCATCACTTCTATCTAACGTGCAGCACTCTCTACAGTAGGGATTGTTAAAATAACTGCCGCATCATTTACTTTATGTCTGAGCTGTATTTTGGTGTTTCCTCCATTTTCAAGTCTGACCGGTTCGAGGTATTTAAGAAATGAGAGTATGGGAAACAGAAAGAAACTACACCAAGAGGGAGAGCAAGGGAGAGGGAGTAGACAGCAGACGTGCAGCTTTCGTTTGTATGTCTCGGTCTGTCTGGAGTGAGCTATGAGCGCATTAATAAATGTACACTCTTCTGACTGCTCTCTCTCTCTCTCTCCTACCCTGTGATCAGTTGCAGTTATCACATGCTTGTAATGCCTGTGCAGGCCAAATACAGTCCAGCACCATCCCAAATGAGCTCCTCTTCCGGTCCTCCCTTTCCTCTCTTTTTCATCTCCAGTGGGAGAAGGAGACAGACTAGAGTTCACACAGTCGACTGTGGAAGTATCATCGCAGGGAGACGACTCTTATTAAACGTCTTCATATTTG